TCTCGAGGGCACCTGCCCCAGGCCATCAAGGACTTAGTCTGGCCCACACAGGGCAGAGCCAGGACTTGAACTCAGGCCCCCTGGCTCAAACCAGTGTCCCCTACAGGATGCTCTGAGGCTAGAAACTGAGGCTTTGAGGACAAGGGCCCTGTTGCTTGTGTCTTTAAATGTCTTTCAGCAGGACTAGGAGACCAGGTGGTCAGTAAATAGTTACAGAATTGCACAGAAGTCAGCTAATTCAGCATCACCCTGTTGACTTGGGGTTTTTTCTGTCTCTCCCTTTCTCCCTTCCTTCCCGTCATCTTTTTTCCTCTCTTTCTCCCTCTTCCCTTTCTCCCTCCTTCCTTTCTTCCTTTGCAATGAGAGGTGATTTCCACCATAACACGGTGTTTATTCCAGACAGGTCGTCCATCACCTTGGATCATCTTGCCTTGGACAGAGAAAACAGCACAGAGGATAAAGGAAAGGATCCTGCCTTTTATTTGCTCTAGGCTCTTCAGCAAGTCACATAACATCTCTGTTCCTCAATGACCCCATTCATAAAATGGGGTGAGTTAGTGCTATCTGATTAAATGAGGTGAAAGCGCATTAAGTAGTGCCTGGTGCATGGTAAATGTCTTAGAAGTGTTAACTATTAAACGTTGCCTTGGACCTAAACCCAGCCTCATTCTCTTCCTGACAAATTTGGTTTCTAGTTCACTCTGCTTGCATAGCCCCCCTTCCTAGAGCACAGGGTTTACAAATGCTTCCAGACACACCATCTCGGGTTAGACAGACACAGGCCCTCTGAGGCAGGAGGAAGAATGATGCCCATTTTACAGATAAGAAAACCAAGGCTCAGAAAGTCTCGGTGTCAATATAGTAGTGACCAAAGTCAAAGTCTATCTCCCAGTCTTTCCCCCTTTTTAACTGCACCACAAAAGGATCTCCCAGCAGCAAAACAATCCTCAGAAGCCTTCCTTGTGGGTCCCTGCCTTCCCTTGACCTGCCCAACCACAGTGCCAGGGTCTGACACTAAGGCCAGCACCTGCATAGGCTAAAAGAAATCTACCACAACAGTACCCCTAGGATCCCTGCAAATCCTTATACATGATGGTCACCCAATAAATATTTGGTTGGGTACTGGATGCTCCATTGGCAGGCATGGTCTGGAAATAGTCTCTCTGCCTTCATCCCAACAAGCTCTGAGCCTTGAGGTAGATGAGTCTTACTTATCTTGGTGCTTCCAGAGCCCACACAGTCAGTTGGCAGGAGAGGCTCACCGCATCGACCTGCCCTGAACCTGGCCTCCTCTCTCTAACTGCGGGGGATGTGCCTGATGTGTCTGCCTGATTCCTGCCTGGGCTTCAGAACTGATTCAGGGCTCAGCAAATTGGGCCATTTTCTGAGTCTCAGCACACCACATTAGAGACTATAAAATTCTAATTCTGCCCCCTCTCATGACCTTGATGAGCTAACCCTGCCTTTGGCATCAACATACACTCAAATCAGGGAACCCAACCAAGCACAGCTGCATCTCCTAGCTGCTGCACACTGCTTAAAGCCTGCACAGCGCTCTGGACCACCAAGCCCACCAATAGAGTCAGCAGGACAATTCCAGTCCTGCCACTTACCTGTCCTGTGACCTTGGACAAGTTAATCATATCTCTGACTCATCAGTGCCCTCATCTATGAAACAAATCTAATAGCATCAGCTTCACAGAGATAGTGTGAGGATTAGATGAAAAAAATATATGCCATCATCATCAACACTCAGACTTACTGAGCATTAAGGTGGGCTAAACAATTTATATGCAAAATATCAGTGCCTGGTAAAAACAGCAATAAGAAAAGTAGCTAACGTGTATTGAGTCTTTTCCACCTGCCAGACACTGTTCTAAGCACCTCATGTGGGTTACAGCATTTAATCTCCAAAACAGTCTTATGAGGTTGGCAGTATTATTAGTCCCATCTTACAGATGAGAAAAATTGAGGCTCAAAGATGGTAGTAAATTCCCCAGGGTTCCAATGTAAGCAGGTGATGACACTGGGATTTAAACCTAGGACATCTGGCTCCACAATCTTTACACTTTGCCAGCTCTGTTGCCTGTTACACTAGCTACTCAATAGTGATTGTTACTGCTTTGTATTTGTTATCAGTATTATCATTAATCTTGTTTGCCCTACATATAGGATAGTCACCTCTAGCTCTAGTTACACTCAATTTATCCTTTGGAACATAATCTCCAAAGAAAACTCCCTTTGCTCCCTGTGACCCACACTTCCCAGTATTCACGCCCTCGATTGTGGGCTGGGCTTTTGGCCGACATAACATGGTAGAAGTGATACTCTCTGACTTCCAGAGCTAAGTTGTAAGAAGTCTTACGGCTCTCTTTTAGTCTTGGGACGCTTCCATGCTGTAAGAACTCCAGGCCACATGGAGGGCAGGTGTAGGTACTCTGATTGGCAGCCCCATCTGAGCTCCCAGGTAGCAGCCAGCATCAATGGCCAGCTCTGGGAATGAGCCCCTTGGAGGTCAAGTTTAGTCAAGACCCAAGGTGACTCCAGCACCAACCAACTTGAGAGACCCCCTGGCTGTGTCCAGTCCAGCTACATCCCGTCCAGTCCAGCTACAAATCTATGCAAGATGAAAATTAAATGTTGTTTTGAGCCACTAAAGTCTTGCGGAGAACTGTTTAGCATCAATTGATAAGCAAAACACCCCCTTTGCATTCCAGTCCAATAGACAGGTCCCAGCATGCTTGAAACAAACTTCTAATTATCTATATTTGACGTCTCACTGAAGTTTACAGGTAAACATCTCTTTTAAGTAACAATAAAATAATTAATATTTGTTGATCTTGGGCACATTATTTAACTCTCTGTGCCTCAGTTTCCTTATCTTTAAAATAATAATAGTAAGACAGTAAGAATACCTAGTTCAAGGCTGTAGTAAGCAGATTAGTTAATTCATATAAGATGCATAGAACAGTGCCGGACATATAGAACACATACACTATGTGACAACTCCTCTCCATTTCTTTCCCTCTCTCTCCAACCCCCACCCTCTTAGTATCTCTCCTGCTTTCTTTAACTGAGTCAGGCACTGCAGGAGGCTTTTTACATTTTAAAATCTTAATTCTCACACTTACCCTGAAGGGAAGTGTTGTTATGTCACATTGCAAATGAGGCAAAGGACTGACATAAAGCCTCCTGGCTAGGAAAGGATGGGGCCAGGACCGAGCCCCAGTCCATGTGCGCTATAGCTCGTTCCCTCTCCCATGCAGCCTCCACGATGCCACCCCTCTGGGACCCAAGTAAGCATCCTGTGACACACGTGGTAGGGCAGCATCTGCTTGGGGACCCATCTCCCACGGAGCCTGGCACACAGACAAACTGTAGCCCAGAAATCAGCTCATTTATAAATCCCAGCTCCCTCAGCTTAGGCGGCCAGAGGTCCCCAGGGTTAGCACCCTGTCTGACACTGCTCCGTGGCAGAGGCACCCCGCCTGCTTGTGTGAGAAGCGCTCATTAGAACCTTCGACTCCGGTGTCAGGAAGCGGCCCCCAGCCAGCACGGAGGGTCAGCCTCAGAGGGACCAGCACACGCCGAGTTTCTGTGCCCTGCACCTCCCAGGACCAGCATTCGATAATCCTTAAATGAACGCAATTGAGTGACTTGCCCAGGTGGAATTCCAGACATCCCCTCTGGGTGAGTGGAGGAGGGAAGCTGTGATTCAGGAACACTTTCTCATCTCGGGAGGAGAGAAAACAATGCTGCAAGTTCCTTGCTGGAAGGCCCTGGCGGTGGCAGGACATTCCCAGCTATCTACACCTGACAACCTGTGTAAGAAAAGCAACTTATTCTTAGAAGTGGACGTCTGTGCTCAGAGAAGTGAAGTGACTTGCTCAAGGTCACAGAGCCTGCAAATGGTAGGGCATGATCTCAAATTCAGCCCTTGATTATGTCTAGTGTTCTTTCCATCGCCCAATTCTGTCGCTCCTTCTCCCCTCCTAATGCCTGTCTAGCAACCCCCCTGGAGCTCTCCTGAGCCTTCCCTAGACCGGGCACACTCTGGGTGGTCTGTGCTCTGAGCCTGCACATTCTTCTCACTTTTAGTAAATGTCTTCTCCGTGTCTCTGGGCCTTTGGACCCTGCACTTCATTCTCTAAGGTGACAAAAGCAAAACTGAACATATATCTGTTGAAAGCCTAGTACTGGTTACCCTTTCCCACTGGATTTGCATCCAGCGTGGTCAGTTCTGGGGGTACATAGTTTCTTCACCCAAAGATCTTATCAAAAACCAGATGGTGCTTACGCTGAATGATGTCTCCCCACAATTCATATGCTCAAGTCCTCATCATGAGTACCTCAGAATGAGACTCTATTTAGAGGTAGGGTCTTTAGAGTTGTAACTATGTTAAAGTGAGGTCACTGAGGTGAGCCCTAACCCAATAGGACTAGTGTCCTTAAAAGAAGAGGGAATTAGGACACGGACACACACACAGGGATGGCCATGTGAACTCATAGGGAAAGGATGGCCACCTACAAGCCAAAGAGAGGCCTCAGAAGAAAGCAACCCTGCCCGCACCTGCATCTCAGACTTCTAGCCTCCAGAGCTGCGAGGAAATAAATATCTGTTGTTTAAACCACTCAGTCTGTGGTACTTTACTACAACAGCCCTAGCAAGCTAATATATAGAACCGCTATGGAACATTATTCTGGTTGCTTAAAATGTATTATCTTTCATTTTCCCTTCCTCAGTCAGATGGATCAGACAGAACACAGAGGCTGCAAGTTCATGGCATAGTCAGGAAACAGTGAGAAATCCACTGCATCGGAGCAGCCGGAACCAAAGGAGAGAAGTCAGAGGCGATCAGAACACTGTAGGGCTGGGCCACGCAAGGCCTCGCTTGCCACCTCCACATGCATCGCCTGCATTGTATTTCCCCCTACAGCAGGCAAATGCAAGCTAGCACCAGGTCCGAGGCTGCAGGGGCAATAGGGGAGGCGGCACTTACCTCTCTCTGGGCAGCTGGTGGTTGGGATTGTGGCGGCAGCGGACACTGAGGCCAAAGAGCTTGCGGGCGGTGCGTTGGATCTTCTGCCGCTGGGCCTCCATGGAGCTCTGCAGGAGCTTGTAGCGGTTCTGCAGGTCCCAGTCGTTGCCCCAGTGCTGATGGATGCTCCCGATGGTCAGGAAGTGGTTGCTGGGTAGACGCTTCATAAACGATTTAAACTCATCTAGAGGGAGACAAAGGCCAGGAGAGAAGGGCTGAGCATGACAGCCCCATCCGAGGCCACCCGCCTACCAAGAAAGCAGGCCTGCAAGTAAAACTAACTTGCTAGAGGCCCACAGGACATGGCTCTAGCCTGCTCCGCTCCCAGGAGGGATGCAGAGGCCACTGTGTCTCCATGAAGGTTCTGTTACAGGAGTGAGCCTGCATCCTGCTGAAGACAGGGCTTCCCAAACTTCTATCGTCTGAATGCCAACTGGATAGCAATATTCACGAATCACTGTGTTTATGATTACTCAGAATCAATGAAACCCAATTTTTATCCAATTCTACACCGACAACCACGGTCACGTGCCTTCAGTAGATGGGAGCTGTAAAATAGTGTGATGAAAACAATGTTAATCAATTCCACCCAATACTGTTCCCTGCTGTATGACCCAAGCCCCGTACCTGCTCTCACTCTGAAACGTGGAGAGGTACCGAGCAGTCGATAGGTGTTAAAGGCAATTTGGCACCAACTGAAACATGCTCTTTGATGTGATCTTCAGGTTTGACAGAGAACTGAAACGGATCAACCTCCCCACTGTGTGATCCAGCCATACGGGAAGTTGTGTGCGCATGCCATCTTCCATCACGTCCCATTTTGGAAAACTCCAGCTTAAGAGACGGGGGCAGACTCCTGAGTCTCTTGGGGGGAGGCTTCTGCCTCTGGGATGCTGAGTTTCCGATTGTCAGCATGTGCTACGACTTGACACAGACTTAGAAATTATCTGGGTCAGCTCGCTCATTCTATGTAGAGGGACACTGAAGCGCACAGTAAGGAAATGACTTTCTGAAGGTAGAACAGCCCAGGAGTGCCAAGAGGCAGGGCCAAAACCAGAGCTGTTGTTTTCCCATCTAATTCCTACAGGCCCACCCCATCCATGCCCCCCTTCAACTACTGGGAAATTAAAGACTTAAGAGGTTAATCATTTTGCAGGTAAAAAGGTAAAATGATTAGATTATACATATAATAAAATACATATGTAGATCTATCTTGAGCCTGATATTTTCACTTTATGTTATAAAACCTACATGGAAATTTCAGGTACATTAGGCATTCATTTTATTAAAAGAAATGCTTACAAAGCTCTCGATAAGCACTAGGCTCAGTCTTAAACACCTAACACATATAAGTGATTTTATAGCAAACCTGTGAAGTGGGTACTTTTAATGCCCCTTTTTACAGAAACTAGGGCACAGAGAAGTTAATTCATTTGCCAAGGTCACACAGCCAGTAATGACAGAATTAGAACTCCGGACTCGCTCCGAATCCGATGCTCTTACTTAGCATGTTATACTTACTCTCAACACAAAAAGAGGATCGGGGGAGAAACAAAAAAATAAAAGGTGCCAGAAACACACGTACAGGAAAAGTGCCTCTGCCTCCTGGAGAACTCAGTCACCTCGTTCCGGACAGTCAGACATGCATGCCTGCAACCTGCATCTCGCCCACCAACAGCTGCATGACCACTCTTCTCTCAATGCTTCCGTTTCCCCGTCTGTCACCAGGTATAACAGCATCTAATTCAAAGGCTGAGAGGGTGACCTAGGATCTCATCTGCCTAAATTGTTTCAGAAATACAGAAAGTGCTCAGCGGATGGAAAGGATAACGCAGGGCTGCGCTGATGGACAGTTGGGTGGGCAGGCTGCAGGCAGGGCACCGGGCTCGACGCTGCTCTGGCCAGCCCTACGCTGCTCCCTGGAAGACACGCAGCTCATCCTTTAGGCGGCTCTGTTGGCCTCGAAGGCCTTTCAATGAACCCGAATTGGGGTCAGATAAGAAAACATAATTTAAAAGTTAAAAATTATTTACTTTCTTGACTACAAGTGGAAGGGTTCCCTCCCAAGGAGGATACTCAGACCCCCATTTGTGTGTGTGAGCTCGGTCCTGTTTGACCACCAACACTCCTGGGCCAACGAGGAACCAATCGATGGCTTTGACCTTTGGTTGGCTGTGAATCCCTCCAAATTCCCTGGTGCTGAGTCATTAGGGTCTCGAGCTCCAAACGAGGAGGAAAGTGCACATGCACAAGGATGGCTTTATCTTAATGGGTGAAACGTTTCAAAGGGGTAAGCACAGGGTGCCTAGAGTAAATGTGTGCGCTCATGGGGGAAAGCACGGCACTAATAACGTCCACCGACTATCCAGCTGACTCTGCAGCATCTGAGCTTTCTGCGTTCCCGCACCCACCCGCCCGCTCCAAGTAGTTTCTTTTCCTTGGTAATAAGGATTACATGCTAACGACCTTACTACTCGTGCACATGGCTTATGTTCTCCTCTGCTTTTTAGCAAGGAAGAATCTCTTTGCAAAAGCATTTTATCAAATGCTTCTTTTGTTCGAGGCCAAATAATCATCACAATACATTTCATCCTGCACCTCTCTCTCTGGTGCACTCCCAGGATGGCCAATGGACTAATGGGTGCAGGTACATAAGGCAGCCACAGCTCCACTGGAGCCGCGTGACCTTTTAAGAGCAGAATCACTGATGGCGTCGTGAGCACTCAGGGCTGGCCGGGGACTCACAGTTCATGGCAGCCAGTGGTTTCAAATATAGCTCAACAGAGCTTAGCTTTTATCTGTGGTACACAGTGGCTCCAAGGTATGATTTTGTTTGATCAAAGGGCTTCTTGGCTACATATTTAAATAAATTCAAAAATTAAACGCATAAACATGTCCTCTCATTTATCAGATGAGGGAGCTGAGGACTGGGGGGTAAAGTAGAATTAATAAGGTACAAAAGCTGCTGTGAGCACTGGGTCTGGAATCAGGGATTCCATTACCGACTCTGCCATTTACTATGTAACCCTGGGGAAGGCACTGGGTCTTGGCACCCTCCCTGCTCTACAATACAGGAACATCATTACTTACTTTAATGCAGTTCTCGCAATAGATTTGAGGAATATAAAGTTGTTTTTAAAACAGTAATGCTCTCTGTATATGTCCATTTATTTAACAGATATCTGAGCACATATTCGATGACATTATTTGGCATCTCTTCAAGGAAGTCTCAAGGATTCTCAAGCTTTTCATGTCCAAAACTGAATACACAGTTTTCTTTCCCAAACTTGCAGGGTGTTCTAGCTCAGTGAATGGTACCAACATCCATCAAAGTGTCTGACAAACATACCTAAAAGGAGTTCTGGGATCTCATCTCACCCTTCCTTCCTCAAGTCCTGCTAATTCTCCCTTGTAAATAGCTCAGCGCCCCTGCACATTTCCCGTTGTTACTCCCCAGCCCTAGCCCACATCCCAGGCATCTCTCAGGCACCTGGTGGTGGCCTCCCACTGGACGGCCTGCCACCCTCTCATCTCCGGCCCACAGTCAGACACGTGGACTCTGCTCTTCCTCAGGGTGGCCTCCCCCACTCCTGACCATGCCAACCTCTGGCTCTACGTGGTTTGCTCACAGCAGCTTCTCATTCGTCACACAGATATGATTAAAATGTCAATTACTGGCATGGTTGTATGATTCATGCCTGGCTTTCCTATTAATTAGGAGCCAGCTTTGCACCTCAGCCACTTTACGGCCTCAGGTGACTGACTGTCCTCCCCTAACCATGAAAAGCAGGAAATAGCTTAAGTTACCTGAGCAATGACTTCTAGCTTTGACAGTTTGTGAATTCTTTGGAAATCTATCAATACCTACATTAGATGTATATCTACATAGACATGCTTACACACACGTGTGTGTCTGTTTATTTAGACAGATAGACACACAGACTCGGGAATGAGTACAAATACCCTCAGCTCTCCCTTCTCCAGAGGTGTCCTATGCGCTATGTGGCATCACGCTCTCTGTCTTCTGGGTACAAAAGAGACGATACATCACAGGACCACAAACCTGATTACACTGTTCATTATTTCATTCAGTGGAGATGTATTGAGTGCCCACCCCAAGGCAGCTCCTGGACCTTGCCCTGGACTCTCCGCCATGAAAGGGTGGGGGAAGCACTGGGTTAGCCCTCACAGCAGCCCTGCTCCCAGTCAGTCAGCTTTCTTTTCTAGACTTGGCTCAGGGCCACTCATGCAGCAGAACTAAGTCAGGCTCTCTACCTGAGTTCTCCAGGTCCTTGTAGGCCTCGGCCCAGGACTTGGCCATGTTGGCCAGCGTGTACTCCATGATCTGGATGTCGGTGACGGGGCAGTTGCACTGCGGGAACTCCTCGGCGCACTGGCACCGGCACTGGCTGTTCTGGCACACGTACTCGCCCTCCCCGTTGCACATGATGTAGCTCAGGGCCGACTGGACGAATTTCTCTTGCAGGTACGGAGGGAAGATGATCTGCAGCCCTGTTCGAGAATAGCAAGGAGGGGAAACAGAAAGGTTACAAAAAGGTGTTTCATTCACAGCTTCGAAAGGTGACGCGTGGGATCCTGAAGCTGCTAGCTCTCTCCCTGTGTATTGTAACCAAAATATCTCAGAGCCGCCTAGATCCAGACAGGGCACGCTCGGCGGGGCCTCCGGGTGCATTGCCTCTGCTTACACTTCTCAGGTCATGACCTTGGCCGTCTCTGAAATGCATACTCTGTTCCGCTCTGCTAGGACTGAGGTCTGGTATAGACCCTTTCCATTCGGAGAGGATAAGCCCTTACTGAAAGCAGAAGGTTACTGTTTCTGTTTTCTTCTAATTTCCTTCATTTCTTTCCTTTTTTCCTTTCTTCAAATATTTATGAGCCCTATTGATGAAGCACAAGTCCTGAGCTAGGCACCAGGTCTATAGAGATAAAGAAGACACTATCCCAGCCCTTGGGGAGTTTACAACACAATCAGCAGGGACAGACACAGACACACATCATCCTAACGCGGCCTTATAGACCTGAATGAAGCAGAGACGGCCTGTGATGCACCCGGCAGCCCAAGCCTGCAAACGACACCACCTGGAGAGCAGGGACACCTTTGTAGAGGAGATGCTATGGGGCTGGGTGAAAAGTGAGTGAGAGATCATTGTGTAAAGAGAACAGGAAGCACATTCTGAAGAGAGGAACAGCAAGAACAAAGACATCATGAACCTGGGAAGGAAATGAATTTGGATGGGGGGTGCCTGCTGTAGAACAGGTTTTAGAGAGGAGCAGATGCTAGAATGCAAAGAGCTTAGTTATATACTGAGCAATTTGAACTGCATTCTGTGGATAATGGGGATACTCCGTTAAATTATATGAAGAGTGATATAGTTTCATAAGACCACTGTATCATAAAAAATAAAGTATCAGTGGAGAAAGATATTAGATGGAATTCATTTACTCTTCCTGGTTCTCAAAATGAAGCCCAAGCCCACCGAGGGGAAGTGACTAGCCCATGGTTGGTTATAGGATGAGTGCTCTGGACCACATCTCATGATCTTTCCTCTATACTTGGCTCATCAGTCCTAGTCCTCAGAGCCAGTGATGGAGAAGGGTTGATCTGGGCATGAGCACTACTCCTGTACCCTTGAAATGTCAGCACAGCAGGCAATTGCCGCTGGTGACCAGATGGAAGGACAGCTCTGGGCTAAATTAGCTCATTAACGCACTTTCACCTGGGATATTCCCTCCACCTCATTTGGAGCTGGTAACAGTTTTAGCCATCAAGGCATATGAGCCTAATGGTTTTACTACCCACTGTGCAAAAGAGGACTGTTATTCGAATTAAATTTTTTCATCACTCATGCTTCAGGGACACCCCCCTACCCTGCTCGTCAGGGATCTGCATTTCTCTCTCTCTTTACTTCACAGTTGTGTTTCTATATTTTTATCTTTCCCTCTCTTGCCTTCAAATTATTTTTAAAAGATGAAGCTCCATCATTTCAACTTGTCTTCAGATGGCATCTCAAAAAGACTCTCTGAGAGGAGCATTGTGGGAATGAAACTCGTGCCTCCAGCAAGCCGTATGGTAGGAAACCATAATAAGGTCATTAAAAACTGGGCATCGCTGGAGCCAGGCTCCTCTCCTTACTACCGAGTCATCCTCAAGCAAGTTATTCCACCTCTCTAAGGCTCCACTTTCTTTTCTATAAAATGGGAATACGTTTAGTTCCTACATCAGAAGGTCTGCTGAGAAGACTAAGTGAAAGAAATCCTGCAAAATGTCTAGAACAATTCCTGGCACATAGCAAGCAAACAGTAAATGTTAACGGTTCCTATTTTTGATGATGATGGTGATGATGTTTCTCCTCTGATTAAAGTTTTTGAAGGTTTCAGCAGAATCTACAGAATAAATGAACAATAGCTGCGGGTATTTAGTCAGGAGGAGATAACGCTCAGAAGGCAGTCTTTAGCTATTTGGAGAGATTTCACAAGAAGCAGGGTTTAGAATTCCATGTCTGTTGAACAGGCCACGGTGGGAGGGCTCTTCACGAAGGTGGACGCTATGTGAAGATGGGTGGAAGGTGTGCTACCAGGTGGAGCTGCGCAGCTTGGGCAGCAGGCCCCTGGAGGCCTGGTGAGGCCCACGCCGAGGTCCACGTGAGTTTGAGTGATGCTGGGAAGGGCTTACTGTACAGCGTTATAATACAGACACCAAAAGGTGGGCAAAATAAGTCCAGTTAAGCAGGAAAGTTCCTTCTAAACCAGGTCTACAATTCTTTCTGAGTATGCATTATTGAGTCATTTTATCTGTATCACAATTTTCACTTCCAAAGCAAAATTTATTTTTAGCTGATCCCAATCCCCTCTAGGCATCTGAGTCTATGGATTGGGGTTAAGTTTCCGTTGCTTAAAGGAACTCTACGCGCAGCCCTAGTTTTCTAGCTTGCTCATCGCTTTCTTTCTGCCTTTTGTAGGGGATAAAGTATTCTATTCTTGGTCCCAGCCCAAAAGGAATTTGGGGAGAGCATTTTTAGAAAACTGCGTCAAATCATTTCTCCGTTTGGCAAGGATACAAAGGGCAATATTACCTACCCCACTTAATGCAACTGAACACAGATGAAGTTTGGGGTTGGGGGGGGTTTCTGGGAGCAGCTGAAACACAAAACTGGCTGCTCTTTTAAAAATGGAAACTCAGAACATGTGAGCTGTCTCTGAGGCAGAATCTCCTGGGCAAATTTGAAAGAAAATAATGAAGACATAGCAATTAAAAAGCACTTTTCTGCAAAATGTCATTACCGTTTAAAGTTACATAACCATTTCTACAGCAGCAGCAGCGGAGGTTCACACAGCAGTCACCGACACAGTCGTCTCCCGGTGACCTGTGTCCAACAAAGAGGCCCATTGCTGACCCCCTAGATTGGCGCCCAAATCCTGCAGGCCTCAATGGGAGTCGTAAATAATTCAGAGGGGGATTTGGCCTCTAGAACCAGTGTTTGAAAGATATACAGCTGCTGGCTGGGTTGGAATATTCTGTCCCCACAGTTCTCAAAGACACACACACACACACACGGAAAGGAAAACTGAGAAAACGGGAGAGAGAGAGAGAAAGGCCACCATTATTGCCAAGCATATAAATTTTGCTTCACAAAACCCAGGAAGGCAAGAGTTGAGAGTTTCATTTGAACACCAATTCACCCACGCTGAACATATGGAATATTTTCCCCTCAATCTCATTATACTTTGGAAAAAAAAAAATCTTGTTATACTTTAAAATGGAACGTCTCAGTGTTCCGCAGAGCGGGCGGGCAGTGTGGATGCGGGAACACCCACGCCGTCTTCTCTTTTCCTCTTTGCCCCATTTTCCTCAGTCCTTCCTCCCGCCTCACGTTCAACACAGACATCTCACAATATTTTTTGTATTTTCCACACAATCCAAGATAAGATTTCCCCTGCTCTCCGGCACACAGTGGAATAGCTTTATTTCCTTGCCTCCCCCCTTCCTCCGATCTCCTAATATTCTCTTCTTTATTCAGAGCACGCCGGCCATCCTGCCCCTTTGCAGCCCCTCCATGTGCCAGTCATGTCTTTCCAATAGTTTTTGCACTTGTCCTTCCCCGAGCCTAGCACATTCTTTTCCCAGATCTCTGCAAGGCTGCCTTGTCTTGTCCTGGCCCCGGACCTTCCCAGACCACCCAAGTTAAAATGTCTCTTCTAGTTTCTTCATAGCCTCCGTTACTTATTGAAATTACCCATTCGCTTGTTCTCATGTTTATTTTTCCACCCCCCCCATTCAAGAGTGGACTTTAGGGGGCAGGGCCCTGCCTGTCCACTACAGATCTGAGTNCTTGTTCTCATGTTTATTTTTCCACCCCCCCCCATTCGAGAGTGGACTTTAGGGGGCAGGGCCCTGCCTGTCCACTACAGATCTGAGTGTAACTTAAAGCCAAGCCCAGGGTGGGCTCCATGAACTCATTTGTTGAGTGCAAAAAACTATCGTCTTTTTTATCCCAATGGAAAACATCTTGCCCCATTAGATTTAGAAGATGTTAGAATTGAAAACTTAGGTGCCCTGCCCAAAGCTCCCCAACTAAAGTAACAGACTGTGGACACAAACCCAGGAATTCCAATCGAGTTGTGAAACATGTGAGGTGAGACTGGAGACAAAGTCCTGGCCTAGGGTAGCTCCGGCCCAGAGTGGCCTCTAAACTCAGGTTTCCTGCCTATGAAGTAAGTCTGAATAATCACTTTCCAGGGCCGTTATGAGGAGCAAATGGGGGGAGAAAGGGCATAAACACCACTTAAGCAAGAACCTGGCTGTCATGGGCTGAATGTTTGCATCACCCCCCAAATTCATATGTTGGAACCCCAATGTGATAGTATTAGGAGGTAGAGCCTGTGGAAGGTGATTAGGTCATGAGGGTGGGGCCTCCATGAGAGGATTAGTGCCCTTATAAGAAGGGGAAGAGAAAAGAAAGCTCTCTACCTCCCTGCATCCTTCCGTTTCTCCTTCCTTCCTTCCTTCCTTCCTTCCTTCCTTCCTTCCTTCCTTCCT